TCCGGATTTTCAACAGCCATGATAAGTCAGTCAATAATTAATATCTCTTGGACCCTAGATAGAAAGTTCTTGTACCCTATACGGATGAGTTCGGTATTTCTAAACTTCAACTACGTTCACCTCTATAGTGACGTTGAATGTATTAGTGAATTAATCATACACAAATTAATGCAATGACATAAAGTCGAAACATTTTAGGCGACTTGAAAGAGATGTCAGACATTTAACTCATTGCATTCAACTTGGATACTTAATTGATGTTTATTTTTGAAAAATATACATTCAGTTATCCACAACTACTTCTACATAATCTTGAATATATACTACTTTTTCTAGTTAATGCTTGATATTTTTATGTAGTGCTGTTTGTATTGTTGGTGCATTTTAAATACTGTTAAAAACACTGCGTTAATTTGAATCGGCTCATTGTTTATTCTACCATCCCCTCCCTCTTCATTGTAGCATTTTGTTAGAACTAATAATTATTTTCAAGAGTTAGTTTGTGGGGATTCGATTTGTTTCAAGTTTGACCACAGAGTGATATCAGTTACAGAACCATCGGAAAACAGCACGGAGAAGTGAACAGCTGTTTCGTCCTAGTTTGCGATTCATCATCAGTCAGCACACAGGACTTTCCGGTTACAAAGCAAGCTCGTACACCATTCATCCACTAGGACCCGACCAGTGAATTCTAACTTCTACCGATTCATGATTTTAGCGCGACCACCAGCCAATGTCATACGTGAGTATTTGTCCTCACTCCTGACCAGCAGTTACAATTCATAAGCCATGGAGTTGGATCCCAGTGGATGAATGGTCTACGAGCTTGCTTTGCAAAGCAAAGCAAGGTCATGGGTTCGAGTCCCGGAGGGTAAGTACTGTTGACGAGTCCTATTATTGCATGAGACAACTGACCAGTACTGCCTGATTCCCGATGGTTCTCTAACTGATATCAATCCGTGATCAAACCTAAGGATTGTTTATCAAATTCTAGTTTTTCTAACAGTATAAAGAATTCAGCTAATTACCATATAAAACAGACAGTAACTGATTTCTTCCATTGATCCAAACTGTACTGAGGAGTGAAACTTATAGTTTCAGTACCATAACCACTTCTTTTCTATTATTTTGACAGATATATGCATTTCATACAGTGAATTTGTAACTTTTGAAACTGATCAATAGATATCTTTATGTAAGTTAGTCTTTAATAAGTTTGTGATTGCACGATACCAACTTTCATTTCTTAACTAATCAGCCTCATTTACAGTTACAGCTGTTTTATGAATCCCAAGTCTATAAAGAAACACAATTATGAAAAATTTGTAAGTGTTTATTAATTCGAAGACCAACTGACTGATTTAAATATAGAAATTTGCAGAGATGTACAGAAGTTGCCACATTCCATGTAGCACACAAAACAAGAGAGGAGAGTAAAGAGAGATAATAAAAAGAGATGCGAGAGAAAAACAATAGTAATATGGAAGAACGATGGGAGTTTATTGGGAAAGACAGATCACAAAGAGTGAATGCATCTGCGCCATTAGGAATGATTTCGAGCCATATTACCAATTGTACACAGCTATTGGTTCTTACCATTCTGAGGACCCCAACCGGGAAGTCTACATCTCCCGACACGGTTTAGACTAACTGTTATAGATTTCATTGGTTAATTCCATGTTTTGGTTTGACCCTCACTAGCTTTTTTCCAACCTGATCCTATGTCAGTCAGCTAACACTGCCTGTGGTGGAAGGCATGCGTGACAAATATCCCAACGATCTCAATCAGTGTAACTTCACAACCTCGTCAATTGGTTTCCTCTTCTTAACTAGTACTAGACAGAAGCCTAACCTCAGTATTACTGATCCTCTTATACCACCTAACATGGAAAATAGAAAGGAGACATCTATGATCAAAGACAGCTAGCCTTTTCATTTCTTCCACTTTCAATGACCATGTCTCACAGCCATAAGGGAGGACAGAGCGAGCTGCTGAGCAGTACACACACCCTGTGGTCAACAGCCAGCCAAATATCACGTCTACGCCAGATATAGTGTAAGTCGGCAAGTACCAAAAGAGCTTTTCTGTATCCATGATGAGATTTAGTCAGTGGTCAACCCGCTGGGGCTGATGCAAATTCCCGAATAAGTGAAGTGGTCAACACGTTCTACCACTTCACTCCCTGTCTTTAGTACATCGATGAAGTTGAGTGCTTTATAGTTTCAACATCAAACAGTTTGTCAGTATCAATTCCAATAAGTGATCCCATTAAAAACTGAACTTTCAACTTATGTAACTGCTCCCTGGAAACACTGAATCAACTATATTAGAAATAGTTCCAGTAAGTTTCATTCCTCATGTTCCGAATGGAACACAAGGCTTTTAGCTTAAAGATTTGAATTTTCGGTATCGGTGGTATGTTTTTTGGAGATGTGGAGTTGCTAGCTTCAAGAGTAACTTTTCCTCTTCTCTAAGCTTACTAAAGGCAAGTAGGCTAGGCAAAGTTTAGGACTGCTTGAGGTCAGCATCGAATCCGGGCCTACTGTGTTGTTTGCAAGCATTCTACCATTGAAGTTCTTAGGTTTCATTACATTTGTCTAAATACAAAGATATGAACCAACACAATAGTGAATAGCATCAACTCTAGCTTGACAATAAATCCGTGAACTTCTCATTTTTCATAGCGCAACATAAATTATAAACTTAGACAAAAAAAGTACGAAAATTTAACTGCGGTCAAAGGCCTCTATATAATTTGACAGATGCATAAACTATGCCAATAGTAACCAGATCAATTCGTTGGTAGTAAATAAGAAAACCTAAGAATAAAAGCTGAATTCCCAGAAGGTAATCACTGACAGTACATTTTATACTATGGACAATTCCACTGATGAATACTATACAAATCTTCTATGCTGACTGAGTCTCAATCCCAACTTAGTACAAAAGTGCAGCAATTCAACTTGTCATATTCCTTCTAGCACACAAAGGTAGATAAAAGGGCAAAGTTAAACTTTAAACACCACTAACTACCAATCAACGAACGACCTTCAGTGAACCAATCACATAAAAGAGGTAATTTTGATTAAGGAAAACGTATATTTATGAAAAAAAGCGTGAAACGGTTACATAGGGTATCATTCTCTAACATGTGACAGAAACATCTCCTAGTTTAGCATAGGAGTGTCAATGGAAAAGTTACATCATATTCTGTATATATTCATCCAAATGACTATAAATGAGATCATTTTGAGATCCATTTATAGCCCTGATCCTATTTTTAATCTTCCTCAAAATCCTTCCATAGAATTAGTCCCTGTAATGGGATCCACAAAATTACTAGAATGGTTCACTCTGTGATCAATATATCCAAAGGATGACAGCGAGTTATAACCTTTCTGTTTATCAGTATGTACTGTAGATCCGTTTCACCAGTCGAGTGACAATACGTACTAAGGTAGTAGACTTTCTGTCTGGTATTCTCTCCACGAGTCCTTTCGGCAAGGAGGTGTTGTATAAACCGATCACACAAACATTTTTGACTCGCCCACGACCACCGTTGTATTTTTTCTTCAATAAGACAGTTACGTCCACATGTACGACGGCACCTTTTCCGCCTAACAATTATGTAATTCTCTCCACTTTCCATGAACCGATATCTCTGCACTGCTGGTAACACTGAACTGTTGACACGAGGCTATTTTCAGTTTCAGCAGCTGCGCCTCTCACAGGCTGTTTTAAAACCCAGTAATTACAAATATACAAAATCTGGGTTAGGGAGAAATGCGACCTAGCAAAAAATGTTCCTACGAAACATTAAAATCATCAGCTTTCTTTACCTAATACTAACTCGTCTCAAGCAAATTGCAAAACGATGGACATATCCATCAATCGACCTGCTAAAGCTTTTTAAAATCATGACACTTCCACATGAATAAATCCTCTCCTTCCTAAGCAAACCCAAATCCAGGCAATACTGCAAAACCTTATCCTCATCGAACTGTAAGCGTAACTTCGTTAGAGCACGTATTTGATACGAATCAAGCGGAATACAACCTTGAAGTCACGTGCATGAACCTCAATGGAGCATTCGAGGTCATTCGCTGATTGGTAGTTAGTGGTGCTTAAAGTTTAACTTGGCCGATTAAAGATATTCAAAAGAACTGTAATAAACAAATACGCAAGGAATAAAAAATAGTAACATGGAAAAACATGAGGATTTAATGGTTGTGGTGGAATGCAAAGAGTGAATGTATCTGCACCATTGACAACGATTTTGAGTCCTGTCACCTATGATCTCCACAGCCATTGGTTCTTAGCATCCTGAAGGCCCAACCAGACAGTGATTGGTTCACACCAACAGTGAAAGACTTCACAGAGTGACGTCAGGTTTTGATTTGATCGCCTCTAACTCTTTGCCAGCCTAATCCGATGTTAACTAGCATTGCTCGTTGAGGAAGGCAGTAGCTCGGCTTGTGCTACATGTTTTCTAGCCACCTCGATCGATGGAGCTTCATAACCTAATCGACCTACTTGCCCTCTTTACCTAACATCTGTGATCGACGACAGATAATGTCTTCAGGTTTTCCATTTTCAATAGCCATGTTTCACAGCATTCATCAAATTTACACAATACATAGTCAAAGGCTGTGCTCAGTAATGAATTTGTGGAAGTTAGACAGATGCTTAGAAGATATCTATAATTTGACCTATTAATAACAAGGGAGAATTTCCACAGAATATACTTTAATTCAATTCATTTAAAGGGATTAACATCTTTGATCGTTACGTCTAAATTACCTAGTAAAGAAAAGGTTACATATATAATAAATGCTACAAACATACATATTATTAAAAAGCACTATAAAAATCGTTCCTGCCTTTTGTATATTAAAACACCGAGTTGAATAATAAATAAGCGGAGTTGTGTTTTTTTTCAATGTAAATATATGCAACAATTCTTTGACCAGTAAGGCACCATTTTGTTGAGAATTCTTCTCTAATTATCAATACATGAATACACTGAATGAATTAAAGAGTTTAAAATAGGATCACTGTCTAATGATCGTCCATGAGCATGATTTGTAACATAAGCCCAAGTTAACTGTTTCTCTGGATCAATAAAAACTCCTTGGCCAAGAATATCATCCCACATTCCAAACATTAGGGTGTTCTATAAGAAGAAGAAGAAAAAAACATCTGGTTAAGAGACATGATAAATGATAACTTATACAGTCTATACAGTACAACAGAAAACCACTTAATAATATTACTCAGTAGTAAAATCCAGTTTTATTATGTATTAATAGTAGATAACTTTAAAATAATGTGGAAATCCGTTAGAGAACCATTCGAAAACCTGGGAGTACTGGACAGCTGTTTCGTCCCACTTTGGGACTCTTTATCGGCACGTATCCACCAGGGTTCGAAACCAGGCCCTCCTGCCGATTCACAGCAGAAGTTGGAATTCATGGGCCACTGGATCGGGTCCCAGTGGCTTAATGGTCTACGAGCTCGCCTTGTAACCAGAAGGTCCTGGGTTCGAACCCTGGTGGGTGCGTACTGATGCTCCAAGACGAATTGTCCGGTACTCTCAGGCTTTCCAATGCTTCTCTAACCGATGTAGGCACGTGATGAAATCTTGTAACCAATCAATCAAATGCCTACAAACCAATACTTGAATGGGGAAATCCATGAGTGGAAGTGCTTCTCAGTCACAAAAGGCGAATAACTGGAGCAAATACTTCAAGTTTGTAAAGAATATATGAATACACTGACAGGCATTTCAATTTCGTTCAAAATGTTGGTCAATTCCTTGTAGTAATGAAAATGACATGAAGATTCTTATGTAGTTTGTAAAAATTCAATACACTACATTATGAACATGTCTTCCCAGTGTGTTAGTCAAATACTTGACATATTAAACATTTTTTATAGTATATGCTGCTACTGATAAAAAAAAATAATCTGACTAAATTACACTAAGCACAAAATACTAATGAGGTAACATTGGGAACATTCGACTCTACAATGTTGTCATTACCACTTGATTATTCTCGAAGTATATACATTCAAGAAAAAAAAACAAGGTAATTTTTATCTGAGACAGCCTAACAACGTATCTGATATTCTGCGAAATCCTGGATAGAAAAGTGATCAAAAGATTCCAGAAATTTTAGTGTACAGAGACTCCTTACAAAAGGATCTACGAAAAATGGTGAATCAAAATAACCAAAACGCACAAAGGCTTGCAGTTTGTGCAATTCCTGTCGAAATTTAGGGTACTTCAAATTTTAAAAGACAAAACTAAGGTGGGAAAATCTGTTTAAAGCAGCTTTCTACAGTCTGCTGCTTTTTGTGTGCAAAAATGGCAAATGAACTTCAAACCCACATAACGGAAGGTATTAGGCTGGTAGACTCCAACTACTGGCCCAGAGATCAATCGAATGAGACAAGAGACTTGAAGTTCGGTAAATAGCAAAAGGATGCGGGTATACAGGATTACAATGATGTGTTCTACTCTTCTGTGGCCATATCTGAATCGAAAAGAATGCAATATAATGCTAAAGAAATGGCTATAGTTGGATACGGCAAGCGTTTCTGACCAAAACACACAGGTAAGTAACACTTCACCATTTTTTTTGCCTTACAGAAATTAACTGCCCATGTGTGATGATACTTTTTACTATAGGGCGATGTTTATTGCCATTTAGTGTGAATTGACAATTTCCATATACGTATTGTGGCGTTTACATTCTTTGCGCTACTCTTTTGATACAAAATGACTGTTCTTATATGGGATTATTGATCAACGTTTGCTTCGTTAAACTTATCATCATCATTATTTCGCGTTATTGCTAAATTCTTATTTTAAGTTGTAAATATAAAAATATGTCCATTCTATTACACTACTACCCCTAAAACGTCTGGAACACGCCTGGTATTATAAAAGCAAACAAAATATGATACCGCCTGCCTTCAACTACAAATTTTCACTCAAGCTAATATTTTGATCGCCAGAGTGGAATATTTATAGCTCAACATAGTCCGAGGCAATACATGGCCTTAATAACCTAAATAGTGCTCAATCAACATAGGTATTTCTTGAAGAATAACCCTAATTAATTTTACAGGGAAATAAATGAAAGCTTGCATGTGAAGCTGGTGCTAAATAATAACATGTATTTCACATTGTGAAATCACACCGAGCTACAATAACCAAAGTCCAGTATAGTTAAAAAAATTGCTAAAGAAACTTTCACGTGTATGGAACAACTATTTAGCTTTCGCGATAAATTCTCTTGGTATTATTACCATTGTATATATTCCTTTGCATTTTGAGTGGAACATTGGAACGCATTAGTGATGGCGTTGTTTTTACGGCGTTAGGTGACTAACCTCTCTCGCAACCTTCCCTCACTTTTTCGTCTTACTACGAACTAGTAGACCAGGGAAGGTTTAGGTGTGCATCAGCTGGGAATCGAACCTGGACCTACCAAATGGCTGGTGAGCATCCTACCATTGAACTGCCGACGCACCAACTCCTGAAATAAGAGTTTCCCAGCTTCCAACAGGGACCATCCTTCTAGAATGAAGTCGTCTAAATTACAAGTCGAAATATATAATCATGTTAATAAAAATGTTTCATTAAAATTCATTATGAAAATATTTATCAGATAAACAATACCTTTGGTGAATTAGTGACCATGAAACCTGAAGAAGTAAGTTTTAAATGTCGATGGAGAACCGGATCATAAGAAGAAGTATTTAAAACTTGAAGCATCCAATCTCTTATTGACTTCTTAAGGACGAACGGATGATTGTCAGATGATGAATTACTGGCAATCTTATCCTTTGAATTTTCTAACAGAGTGAATAAACGGACTAAACTTCGTGCATTAGTGAATAGGTGTGTTGAAACTAATGGAACTTCCAGTAAATCAGGATTCCAATTATAATAAATCTACATAAACAGAACAAACAAAACAATTAAGTGTAGTTATATGATATATATATATATATATATAATATTAAAAAACAGGTCATTTTTATAGGATGAAGGTGTGTGAACAGAAAATGAGAAAATAAAGAACAACATAAACTGCATACAACTATGAACGCATCAATTTATTCTTGAAAGTCATAGAATGAATACTTTCAGTTTTAGTAGCAACCTACGCCCAATGAAGGAATGATTTTAATGGCTTGATGATGTTGTGGATAGTGCAATGTTAATTTGTAACAATAAGAACTGGAGTCAAAGGCAAATAAGAACAACAAAACTTGAATCCTGATGTACCTAACTAACTAGTATTAGAAAGTATGAAGCAAGTGTTTTTGTGCCCCACAGCTAACTGTCATGAAAACGTTGGACATTTGCTAGGATATAACACGTGAACTTATACATCCCATTGTGTTCGGCTATCAATCAAAGGACATGTGTACTGCACTACAGTTTGTTCTGTCCTCCTTTATCGCTGTGAGACATGGCTAGTGAACGTGGATGATATGGAAAAGTTAGCTGTCTTTGATCACAGATGTTTGCATTCTATCTTCCGTGTTGTGTTATACTACGGTAAACAATAATGAGGTCAGACGCACTGGTTCAATGCTCTTCTAAATTTTAGATTGAAAAGATAAACATTTACCTCATAATCATTAAATACATCCAATGCCATATTTCTCTCTTTTGAATAAGGTAGCCATTTAGAAGTGACTAAGTTTGTCCATGCGTATTTCACATCAAAATATAAAATGGCACAAAACACACTGATAGCATCAGCGTGGTAGGTCCTGGCAGCACGGTATAGTTGGGTTCGAGGGATCCCGATAAGCATGTCCAAACCTTTAATACAATTAAACGAGAGTACATAAAAATAATGATGTAGGGATAACGAACTGCGAAATTTCGTTTATATACGATATATGTTAAATGGTATTCATTAATACTACCTTAACACAGTTTGGCCACTTAAACTAGCCAAAAAATAAATTATTATTATTATTGATACTTACCAAGAGGCCATGCAATTTCTTCCATAAAATAACGAGCCAGTGTTCGCCTTTTCGGGTCTACTTTGCGAACGATGGCATCACATAGTATAGCCATCGAGTGCAAATGAAACTGTTGGGTTTCTTTGAAGCAATGAAAAATATTCATTAAACTCACTTGGTGGGATAGGTGGTATTTGATTGATTATATCATGTAATGCATTTCTATGATCATCTCGCCATTTAGCTAAAGATACATGACTTATAAAATATGGGAATCCAGACTTTTATCGTTAGCAAGTTTCATCAAATACCTGATGCGTGAGTAAGTCTGATATTGAGATATTAGGAACCAAAAACTGTGGCAAATAGTGCTGAATAGAAGAATCAATACTCAGAAGTCCACTATAAAGAAATTAGAAAGACGCTTTCCTTACTCCTGGTATAACTTAGCAAATGTGAAAGGCACAACAACCAAAGACACAGTAAACAACTGACTTATAGTTGACGGCAACCATGGTAGGCGGAAACGTTTATCCACATATCCTCCAACAATGTCGATAACATGTTCTCCACGATAACAAACAGAAAAAGAAGACCCAAGTTCTTTATTTTTCTGTATTTGATTTCTATAATACACAAAATTTACTGTAACTTACTTATAAACATGAACTGCATGTTTAAACATTTCAGAACTGGTTCCCTGCATCTGTGGTTGAAGATAATGAAGAAGTGAATACAGATATCCAAATATGAAGCATATTACGCCCAATATAATTGCCGGTCGGAATGGAAACATCTAACAGAGGGAAAACATTATGATATATATATATATATAATATATAATGAGACATTAGAAAAGTAAGACAGACAGGTAAAGATTTTTAAACCAATACCTACTATTACTGCATAAGAAAGTAAGTTATCGCGCCTCAAACTTGAAAATTAAACATCATAAAAAAATATAAGAACTGTAAATCAAGCAACAATGGATTGTGTAGTACTTCAAGACAGAAGAAACGAAAAACGCTAGGTAGATAAATATAATGTCATGTTATATCATATTACAGGCATATTACATGCAATTTTAGGCTGTATGAACTGGGAGAAAGAAAATTAATAAACACCTTCTGAATCACTCGAAATTGAGCGGGAGACTTACCATGGACTCACCGATAGAAAATACAAATCTTATAAGACCTCCTACTATGCCTTACAACAAAAGTCTCAGGATTTCAATGCAAAATAAATGAAAGAAAAGAAAGCAGTAGGATGTTCTGTTTTATTACACATGAATTGTTGGGAGTGCTTGGTATACTTACATGGTGCTCCTGAATTACTGGTTTTGTTATTTCAAAAGACGGTAACTTGATCGAATAGATTATGTAGTTAATTTACAACCAATGTATTCAGAATTTATATAACTGTATATATCTTCCTCAGACAGGAGAATTAGATTAAATGACGGATTTCCACCCATCAAGTGACGCTCACACTTTATTACCAAACAAATTTCGAGTAACATTTCTCTGTGGGTAATATTTTAGCTGTGTGTCTATCCAGACTAAATTTACCAACCTCCGTAAAAATAAATAAACGGCATTAACTAGTACCTGGGTACTGCTTTGAATTCTATTTTATCAGTATTTATTTGATGGCATCAATTAATCCTGTTTCTTTGTAATTATAGTTTTTCAGATAGACACGTCTGCATCCCATTATGACAGCGATTCCAATAGCGCTTGAACCTACAGCCATCTGTCTTAACACCATCACACATTTCCAGATGAGTTTTATATGAGACAAACCGCGCATTTACGACACCACCAAACAATACTTGGTGACGTAAACAGCCCAACCTTGAATGTAGTTGGATCTACTAAAAATATTATATGGAAACAGGTGTGCTGAACTTATTTTGACGTGATAACATAGCCAAACAGCAAGTCGAATTAAAAGTTATTCAGCAATTAAGATATTACACCTCACGAAAACTGCACTCAAGCAGATGTTCAGGGTTTAGGTTATCTTACACTCTTCATAAATGACTCTGTAATTTTTAAGTGATCAAGCCCAGAATAGGGAGAAATAAACATATTAAAGAAGTATCAAAACTCAACAAAGAATTCCCTGAAGTGAACAAATTAAACGAGGATGTAGTGATTTAAGTAGCTGAGAAAACTTGAGAAAATAACTGTAATATCTACCAAGTACTGCATAGTGCTTGTCGACTGATTTTAAAAAAAACGATTGGTCGAACAACTGGACGATTTAAAATCCAGTGGATATGAAAGACAATCTACAATCCTTGCACATATTTTAAATTATTTATTTGCATTATTTAATTGCATTTAACCCATCATCTGGAGGAATCTGTTAAAGCAGCGATTCCACATCTATGATGCATACAGTATATGCTAGAATGGACTCGAGGGGCTGAGGCGAATGATTGTTTACTTAATGGTACTAACAGATAGTTGCAATTTTCCTTCTTCACTGTATCGTTGAAAGTTAAACGGCTTTTAATTTGCGTATCGTGTCACATTTAACTCTTTCATTATTAACTTAAACACCTGAAGCATAGTTAAGAGACTGTCAAATAACTGGTGTTTGAGAATGTGTCCTCAGCACCAAACTGTGCAGCAAAGGCAGTGAATTTATGAACGTATTCGTTTTTTGCGTTCACCTTAACACTGTCTTTGAGATTTCTTTGTTAAAATATCCACCCGGGGGTAATTTGCGTCTGACAACGAACGGATGCAATTGAAATTGTAATTTCAATATTCAGTGGACGCATAAAAAGCCACCCAGACAGAGGTACTGCTAGATTGTCTCTATAACTTAACTACATCGCTTCTACCATTAGTTTATTAACGTCTAAGTGCCAGCGAAATAACATATTTTAACCTTTACAAAGCTATTACTATATTCATATCTCTCACTTAAATAAATGTAGTCCCAAACAAACCGAATAGTTATTGGTAATTTATCCGTGTATCCAACTAACATTTAAACTGTCTTATCCTAAAGGTCAAACTACAACCTTTATACAAAGATCCAATATCCAATATCGTTTTTACGAGCTAGTATAAGCCAATTTGATTTCTTTGTGCTCGCCTCTTGATTGTGAGGTAGAAGTTCCTGATCTTCGGTAAACGTCTGCGTAGCTCGTCCCGCTACTCGACTGTAGTAGCTTTGGTTGACTCCAAAAGGAGTAGTGCAGGGATTAATTATATGTGGTTTGTAGTATGAGGTCTGTTAAGACTGTTACTACTGTGAATGGTCCTTCGGTATCTTCGTCAATAGAAAAGAGATAATAATATATAATTAGTTAAATTATTCAGACTAACAGACAGAAAAAGAAATAAGGAAAACGTAACAACAGTCAGCGGATTAAATCCTCAGTTGATATATATATATATATATGTATATATATCGGTAATAATAATAAGTGTAGTTAGAGTTTTCAGGAGAGTAAGACGGGAGAGAATGTAAAGAAGTGAAACGACAAGTTTAATTGTCTACCCTTGAATGGTATATGGGGTTTTAAGGGGATAGGCCATTTGGACGCAGTCCTTGTGTCACTGAATGGTTGTCCACAGACTGTGCCATAGCTACATCTGCCGGTAAGGAATTCCAGGGACAGCAAATCCGCAGGGAAAAGAAGCGGGAGCGTACCCGGTTCCCTGACCTCTGATAAGCTATCCTTCTTGGATTTCCACGAGGAAACCTATACCTTTGTTTGGGTGATTCTGATCATCTGTTATTTTGTAGGCAGTAATCGAATCCCCCTAAGCCGACGGTAGCTAAGTGTGAATAGGTCTAATTTCTTCAGCCTTTCATCATATGGTTTATTTCGGAGACCAACCACTCCTTTTGTTGCCCGTCTTTGAACTCTTTCTAAGAGGTTGGCGTCTCTTCTTAGCACTGGAGGTGCAATAATATTATGCAATTCAAGGTGTGGTCTGACGTATGTTTTGTACAACCTTAGAAAGAGCTCAGGAGTGAGTGCATCAGACTGTCTATGTGTAAAGTGTATGACCGCATATGCCCTCGCTACGTCCCCCGTGTAATTTACGCTTGTGTCCATTTTCTCCGTTAGAACTAGACCTAAGTCGCGCTTCGACGTTGAGCAGGACAAGCTTTCATTGCACAGGGTGTAACTTGCATTCTACAGTCTACAGGTGCGTAATTTCACTACTTTGCACTTTTTCAAGTTGAAAATCATGCCACTGGCCACCGCCCAGCCTTCCAGAAGGTTTCGACCTTCCTGTAGCCTATCTGAGTCCTCCGGAAACTTTATCGCCCTCCATATCTTCACGTCGTGAGCGTACAGAAGAGTCGGGTAGCTTAGACGGCATGGTAGATCATTGATAAAAATCAAAAACATCAGTGGTCCTAGGACAGAAACCTGCGACACTCTTGATGACGAGCTGTGGTAAGATGATCGAACTCGATTGACCTTAGTGCGAAATTGCCTTTCAGCTAGGTAGTCCCTTAACCATGACAGAAGTGGCTTACCTATACCTGCCTGACTTATTTTGTGTAGGAGAAGGTCATGGTGAACTGTGTCAAATGCCTTCCCAAAGTTTAGGAAGACCACATGGACTGGAACATTCATATCCCAGCATGATGTCCAATCGTCCCAAGCTCATAGAGGGTTGGTTACACAGCATCTGCCTTTCCTGAAACCGTGTTGGGCTTCATGGAGTATATTAGACCTACCGAGATATTCCCTGATGTGATCGTCAATGATACCTTCCAGTAATTTCGATACCACTGGGAGTAGAGCTACTGGTCTATAACTAGTGGCATTTTGCCTATCCCCACCCTTGAAGATCAGAGAAGGGATGGTTGTTTTCCATTCCCTTAGCGGTTTCCCCGAGTCAATCGAGTGTTGGAACAAGTCGCATAAGGGCCTACAGAGAGCTTCGACTCACGCTTTCAGGACAGATGGCCTGATGTCGTCACAACCTGGGGACTTCCTCTGTGTGAGCCGCTGTAGCTTCCCCAGTACTATTGCAGGGTTCATTAGGGAGTAGCCACTAGGTCTTCCTCCTGTGAAATAGTAGTGCCACCATTTTGTCCGTACCGGTAATACCCACATTGCTGTTTTACTGTTTGGCGAAGGCTAAACTGAATGTTTCCGCCATCCCCAGACTAGTGAGATATTGACCGTTTGGGCCTACTAAGGCGCATGCCCCCTGATTGGTTGTTCTTCTTTCCGACATGAATCGACACAAGTTTCTGGGGTTTGCTAGGAGTCTTTTGGCAAGGTTAGCCTGGAATGACCTCCTGTCACTCCTGACTCTCGCGTTGCACCGGTTCCTGAGTTTCAGGTATGCGTCGTGGTCGATCTGACTCTTGGATACGCGCCAAGTAAACCAAGCCTTCCTCTTTGCTTGCAGAACACGTTGCGTGCCTCTCTTCAACCATGATGACTTCCCTTTGGGCTGTGTTGTGAATAAAGTGACGGTATCCGAGATTGCTGTATGAATTATCTTTTTTACCGCTTCCTGGTGTTCATCCACAGATAACTCATCCCATGCTAAGGACCAGTCTGCGTCGGACAAGAGCCTCCGCATTTCAGCATAGTCAGCCTTGCTACACAACAGATATGGTTGCGTAACGTCCCACGGTAAATGCTCACGGAGAACGAGATCGAAACCTATGACTGCATGGTCACTACTTCCTAGAGGAGTCATGATCTGGACCTTTTCGACGAGTAGTTGGTCACTAGTTACAATGTAATCTAGTTTCGATAACTTTCCACTAGGGCCCTATCTAGCGTCGTCTCCA